GATTATTTTACATCTGCCTCTCCATGCCTCTTTTCTGCTCTTCTCCCTCTTTCTTTGTGTTCCTTTGCTATCGTACCCAGAAGGTGGATAGCAACCTAAGATCCTTTGCCCTTCAGTGGCAGGTCATTTTCTCTCAAGTGATGTTACTAAGAAGGTGAGGCAGGAGAGATTTTGACAGATCAGATTGTGAGATACATAACAATGAATTTTTCATTTCTGTTCCCTTAGTAACCTTTCAGGACCTTCATATAAAATCTACATGTGTTTTCTTGATATTCAGTGTTATAATGTTTAACATTGCTTCCCATACAATACTTAATGTATATGAAGCCTCAGGGAGAAAGAAGTGAAAAAGAGCTAAGAGGAGGGCTAAGTGATAGTGTCTCCTAGCTCTTATTTCTAATTCTCCCATATTCATGTTCCTAGTAAGCTCTGGTGGCATAGTGCCTAAGGAACTTGACTGCTAACCAAAAGGCTGGCAGTTCAAACCCAACAGCCACTCCTCAGAAGGAAGTTTGGGCGGTCTACTTCCGTAGTGATACCACCTCAGAAACCCAAGGAGGGAGCACTATGAGACAGGTCTGACTCCACAGCACATAGCAACAACAGTCAGCTCTATTTTAGAATTCCTGTATAACTCTGACTTTCACATTGCTTAAATAGGGTTGAAAGTTTTTTTTTTTTTTTTAAATCATTTACCATGCCAATTGTGAGTCAAGAAATTTGAGTGTTGTGGTATGATATTTACTTGTTATCTCAGTTTCTTAGGGCTGCCACAAGAAATTACCAGAAGCTTGGTGGCTTGACACCCCAGAAATGTGTTTTCATACAGCTCAGGAGGACACGTGTTTGAAATCAAGGTATCGGCAGGATGAACTTCCAAAGGCCCCAGGAGAATAGCTGTCATCACCTCTTCTAGCTTCTGTTGGCTCCCTGTGTTCCTTGGCTGGTAACAACACAGCTCCAAGTTCTCCCTCCTTCTTCACATGGCCTGTTGCTCTGTGATTCTGGGCCCTTGTCTGCTTCTCACAAGGCCACTCTGATTGGATTTATTGCCCACCCTCAGAGAATATGAAGGAGCCCTAGTAGTACAATGGTTAAGTACTCAGCTGCTAAGTGAAAGGTCAGAAGTTTGAACCCATCAATCACTCCATAGCAGAAAGACATGGCAGTGTCCTT